ATGTGATGTGATGTGTTGTTATTGTTGTTAAGTGCCATTGAGTTGATTCTGACCCATAGCAACCCTGTGTAGGGTTTCCGAGGAGCATCTGGTGAGATTGAACCACTGACCTTGTGGTTCAAAGCTGGACTTTGCAGTCCAGCTCTTTAATTCACAACTAATTAAATATAGCAGATAAGATTCAGTTCTCTGCTATTTAACCAGACACTGCAGTGATTTGTGAAAATATATATATATTTTTTTAAATGCCACTCTTCTCACTAAAATTTTTTATTTGGAAAAAGAAAAGTTATTTATGTTAACATGTAATGAGTGTCAGTGAGTCCGGAAACCAAACTGTTGAAACTCTGGTATAGACTCTGAGGCTTGTGAGAGAAACGTGCAAGAAAAGCAAGATTTAAAAAAAAATAAATGCCATGCTACGTGTACCAATATCTAACGTCTGTGGTGAACTACCAATGTAAGCATTACTTCTTCCTTTTCTTGAAAAGAAACAAAAAATATTGGCAGTTAGCTACTGGAAATTAACTGCAGTCTCACAGAAAGTTGTTTTTTCTAAGACAGAAATCTGGAGCCATTTACTCAAGACTCATTGAAATGGTTGTTGCTCATGAAGTTATTTATTTTAACCACTGAGATGTTTATTAATGGTGGTTCCTTCCCCCCCCCCCATCTTTCATACAGAGCTTATTTACGTAGAATTTTTGGTATTGCAAAATGAAATGCAAGGAGCCAAAAGTAAGATAATTGTCAGCAGTAAATCCATATAAAATAAGAAGCTCGTCAGCCATGAAAGATCCAATGGAGAAAGCAAGGTAAGTACTGTGTGTTGTTAAGAATTAATTGATTTTATAGTTATAAATGCAAAATCAGAGACTGTGTTAGTCAAAAGAAATCCCCTCAGGTCTGCTAATGCTTCTAAACTGGTCCTAATTCAGGTCAGAGCACAGAGCCAGCCCATGGAAGAAACAAGATGCCCTGGTCACTTGTCAGGTTACATCTAGTGTAGTAGAGTTGATGTATGAATAGTTCAAACATTCTTGAAGGAAAATGATTAAATTTTATAAATTTCAGAACCTCTTTAGTAACCATGAACATTTTGGGATATCGAAGGTTTTTTGTCTTGTCCTGGGAGGTGGTTTAAAGCCAAACTATTGGAATTTTGAATATATTTAGTAGTTTATGGGGGAAGTAGGGCAGAATATATAAAATTGTTACCATCCAGAAAGTCTTGATTGATCATCATGAGCATGGCACTCAGGCACTATTGAAAAATGACTAAAATCCCTCTTATTTTTCCTTATGCATCCTTCCCATGCTTTTCATTGCCTCAAGATACCTATCTTCCATGGACCTTGGCTTTCTCATCTCTGAAGTTTCTTCCAGCTTTATGATTCTCTTGCACAATACACTTCAGATTTGTCTGTTCTTTCTTCAAATCTATTTGAGTTTAGAATTCAAATGAGTGATCGATGACATATAGGAGTACAGGAGTGGTGCTATAGTAAAAGCACTCAGCTGCTAACTGCTAGGTCAGGGGTTCAAACCAATCAGCTTCTTGGAAAGTCTATATAGGGTCATATGAGTTAGAACTAACTCGATAGCACTAAACAACATAGGGCTTCCTGTGAAGGAGCCTTTGGTCTTGTAGTTAGCAGTCCAGTGCTTACCCTACAGTGCCACACCAGAACTCCTTACATACACAAGAAGGCTTAAAATTTTTTGTGGAAAAATTCCACGGTCTTTTCAGTCCATTTTACCATGAACTTTTTGAAGCCCCTCTTATATATGTGTTTGTGTGTATTTATGTACCTTAATGGACTTCAGGTGTGGTGCTGGACTGTGAACTACAGGTCCGCAGAACTATACACAGTTCTTGTCTTACTCTCTTTACCCTCAAAATCTACTGGCACCAAAATAGTTGTCTAAAATAGAAGTCTCCTCTACTGAAATGATTTAATCAGTAGTTTGCTTTTAGGCAAGTCCAGTTTGTTTTTCTGGCTTGACCTCATTTTTTCCCCTTAAAGTTGATGTAATACCAAAATATCTATAAGTATGCTGCTACAATATTGATAATGTATGTACCTTCTAGTTGTTTTCTATGCGTGTGTAATTTCTTTCTTTACAAACTAGGTAACATATTTTTTTTTTTTTTAATTAAATGTTTTTATTTTGCATTGAGTGAAAGTTTACAGGGCACATCATCAGCTTCACATTCAACCATTCATATAGCTTGTTTCATTACATTGATTATTATCCCCTCTATATATCATCAGTTAACAGTGTTTCTCTCTATCCTCTTTAGCTTTTTTTTTTTTGGATGGGGGGGGACTTGGCTTATTGGAATTTACAGTCTCGGCTTTTAGGGGAGGTTTTTACATTTGTCTGTGGATATCCAGGGCTCATGTATGAGATTACTAACAAGCATTACTAAATAATCAGATGAGGGACAGTTTGTTATGTCTACTAGGTGGCTAGAGTCTGATCCTCAGAGCCTATGGTTTGGACGGTCAACAACGCTTGGGCCCACAGGGGCTTGGCCTCCTGACTGGGTCTGTGCTGTCTGCATCTGAGTCCTCCTTATTTATTGATTGTTTAAGGGACGCTGCCTGTCTTAGGTGGTCAGTGCGAATTCCTCAGTCTTACCAGTCATTGAGACTCATTGCAGCATGGCAATGTCTCTGTCCCAAGTAGCCGAGGTTCCACGTGATCCTTACCCGTCTCTGGCCACACGTCCAGCATAAACAGCCGCCATCCGAGGAAGGCAGGGAGGGAGGAGATCAGCTGGGGACCCCAAACTAGGTAACATATTATTTCATGGTTTTATAACCTGCATTTCACTTAGCTAAACATATTGTGGATATTTATCAAAATGTCATTTTTTTAACATGTAACTAACAAAGCTCAAAAATTTAAGTTTAGAAAAGGATAGAGTGAAAACGAAGTCTTCCTTCCATCCTTTAAGACATTGTTGATTACTACATAATAATAGTTAAAATTTTTATTACAGATTCTTTTTTTTAATTTGTGTCTAGTTACTGGCATAAGTTGAGGACTGAGTTGTTTTGTTTGTCTTTTTGCTGTTCATGAATACTGATTCAACAGTCTTGCAAAAACAACTTTGAGTAAAGCATGGTTGGTTATTTTAATGAAAAGTTCCTTGAAACTTCTTTCTTAACCTTTTTCTTTTGCTCTTCTGAGTTCTTCCTCTCTGACTTTTTTCATCTTTTTACTGCTTCCAATTGCTTTGACTCTCAAACCCCAGCCCCTCTTCTTTTAACTGCAAGGTCGGTGGTTCAAATCTATCAGCCACTTCTTGGAAACCCTATAGAGAGTCCCTATGAGTTGGAAACGACTTGCTGGCATTTAACAGCAGCCATCACTGCTCTCAGGTCTCCATATTAAAATTGTAGATGGGTGTCCTGGTGTGGCGCTGTGGGTTAATGAGCCAGACTGCACAGCCGTCTGAACTGCAAGGTCGGTGGTTCAATCTCACCAGCCGCTCCTCAGAAACCCTATACAGGGCTGCTATGGGTTGGAACCAACTCAACAGCTCTTCACAACAACAAAAACATATTGCTTCACCACATTCCTGTCTCTCTGGGTGCCACAGTTGACCGATCAGATCCATAGTATAAATCCGTAATCTTTCCTCCTTTTACCACTGGTCCTATTTTTGTCACTTGAACAATTTATATCTTTGGGCTTCAAAGGAAGATTTAATATGAAAGATAGTCCTGCAATTAAAAAGAATTTGAAAGCTGCTATGACACTGTGGGTTAATCTGCTGAACTGCAAAGTCAGTTTGAACCACAAGGACGGTGGTTCAAGCTCACCCGCTGCTCCTTGGAAACCCTCTACAGGGTCTCTGTGGGTTGGAACCAATTCAACGACCCTTCACAATGCTGTTAAGTTTTGCCTCTGTCATGGGTGAAATGTCTGCCCCTTCCTTGAAAGACTCTATGTAGGGTGTCTAAAACTGTACACCAGTATGTGAGCAGCCAGCCTCATCTTTCTTCCTTTCCTTGAAAGAAGTAGTGTTTAAAAAGGAGGCTAGGTGATGTTGTCTGGGATGACAGGGGACTGCGTTAAAAGCTTTCAGGGACTGGGTGTTCCCATCAGGCTGCTATTTTAGGAATCTTTTTTGGCTCCAGTTGTTGTTGTTGTTAAGGGCCTTGGAGGCTGTTCCAACTCAGGGTATTTCTGTATAGGATTTCTGAGGAGCGGCTGGTGGATTTGAACCACCGACCTTGTCTTAGCAGTCCAGTACTTATCCTGCTGCACCACACCAGGACAGTAGATGAAAGCCAAAGGAGGAGCCCTGGTGGCATAATGGTTAAGCGCTCAGGAGAAAGGCATAGCAGCCTGCTTCTGAGACATGTTGTTAAGCACCGTGGAGTCGGTTCCGACTCATAGCGACCCTGCACAGGGTTTCTGAGGCTGTTAATCTTTACGGGAGCAGAAAGCCTCATCTTTCTCCCGCGGAACAGCTGGTAGTTTCAAACTGCTGACTTTGTGGTTTGCAGCCTGACTCGTAACCACCTTGCTACCAGAGCTCCTTGAGACATACAGCCTTGAAAACCCTTTGGAGCAGTTCTGCTCTGACCTAGTGTCGCTGTGAGTTCAAATAGAGATCAAAGGGTAGATAAAAGTATTTTTCTGTTGTGATATTTAAAGCTGTATTTATGTTGAGGTTTGGGGTTAATGATTGGGAGGTTCTGGACCATCTGGGACCCAAACATAACCAAAGCATACACATTGATTCTTGTTGATAACATTTTATGTTAAAATAATATGAACCAGTTCCAATTTGTTTAACTATTTGAAAATGTGTCTGCGTTCAAGATGTGAACATCGAGGTGTGTGCTTTGGAAAGGTTTAAAGTAGAGCTAGCAAGGGAGCCTCAAAAATTTCCCCTTTTTTTTGCAGGGATGGAAAGTGAAGTGCAGGAAGCAGTACTTGTATCTCTGTTGGCAGGCTTTCTGAAAGTTAACTCAAATATGACTGGTCTTTCTCCCGAGAACTGCTCTTCTCAGTACGAGGTACATCCAACAAACCAGCCCCTAAATGTTAGCAGTCTGCTGTTCTTGATTATATTTGGGAAAACATTATTAAATATCCTCACACTGGGAATGCGGAAAAAAACCACCTATCAAAATTTTTTGGGATACTTCTGCACTTCACTGGCATTCACTGATCTTTTCCTTTTGACAAACATTTCTGTTATATCCTATTTCAAGGATTTTGTACTTTTAGGCATTAGGTTCACTAAGTACCACATCTGCCTAGTAACTCAAATTATTTCCTTTACATATGGCTTTTTGCCTTACCCCGTTTTCCTGATAGCTTGTATAGATTGTTACCTGAATTTCTCTCAAACCACCAAACTTCCATATAAATGTCAACCATTATTTTATTTCTTTACTGTAATTTTGATTTGGATTTCAGTCCTTGCTTATGTTTTGGGTGATCCAGCTATCTACCAAAGCCTGAATGCACAGACTCTGTATCCCCATCAGTGTCCTTTCTATGTTAGCAGTCAGAGCTTTTGGCTCTCATCTTCCATGGTGATGATCTTATTTGTGGTTCTAATAATCTTTTGGTCTGAAGTCATTGCCTTGGTACAGTCTGTAAGGTTAACGACTTTTATGGATGAGGCCATCCTGTATTTTCCCTTTTCATCCCACTCTGATTGTACTATGAACTATCAAAAAATACTCTTGCCTAAGCTCATTATCTGTTTTCTCGGTACCTGGTTGCCATTTGTCCTATTTCAAATAATCATCCTTTTACTTAAAGTACAGATTCCAGCTTACATTGAGATGAACATTCCTTGGTTGTATTTTGTCAATAGCTTTCTCATTGCTACGTTTTATTGGTTAAATTGTCACAAGCTTAATTTAAGAGCTTTAACATTACCTGTGGACCCATTTGTGAGCTGGAAATGCTGTTTTGTTCCAGTTACAATTCATAATCTTGAGAAAATGGAGAAGCCTATATCTATAATAGTTTGTTAATATATTGCAATCAAAACCTAGGACCACAATGAGAATAAGAACTCAGGATGTATGAAATGCTTTAGTACATCACAGTATGGTAGTGAGGATTGAGGGACTGAGAGTCTGACAAACATGAACTGAATTCCCTCCTTTTTAGCAACATATCTTTTGAGGTTAATTACATTGCTTATTAAAGTGTTTCCTTTAAAAACAAGCATTTCAAGAGAAGTATTTTTCCTGTCCAGGAATGTCTATTACAAATATTAATTTGTTATTAATGCAAATGTGGAACAAGTTAACGTTTGGCCATACTGATGTCTGTGTTGCTCAGAAAAGTACTGGATGCAAATTATTGTGTAAACCTGAGAATTACTGTCAACTTTAAGATATGAACTTAAATAAACATTTTTATTAAATTAAAAGCAATCAATTTAAGATCATTTTCTTGCAATGATTTGGTATAAACATTCTTTGATGTAAAGTGTAAAGATAAGCTCACTTTAAATTTAGCTGATTTTTATAATAAATACATGTATTCCTGGGAGAAAGGAGTTTGGGTTGTCCACCTTAGTGACATATCAGATGCATTTTCCAGTTGTAACTTGTGTGTCACATACTTACACTTACATGCCATGTCATCACATTAATGCAACACACTGTGAAATTAAAGCCAGGCGTCTCAACTTCAGCACTACTGACATTTTGGATGGCGTAATTCTTCACTGTATTGTGGGAGGCTACCTTGTGTATTGCAGTGTTTGTGTGGCACTGTTAATGCACTGGACTGCAAAGTTGGTTTGAACCGCAAGGTTGATGGTTCAAGCTCACCAGTTGCTCTTTGGAAACCCTGTATGGGCTAGCAAAGGGTCAGAACTGACTTGACAGAACCTAACAACAACAGCCTTGTGTATTATGGAGCTCTGGTAGTATAATGGTTAAGTGCTTGGCTACTAACCAAAAGGGTGCCATTGTAACCCACCAGTTGCTTCGTGGAAGAGCCCTGGTAATGTGCTCCAATATAGATTCCAGCCTAGGCTCTCCTATGGGGCAGTTCTACTCTGTTATCTAGGGTCAGTCTGAGTCAGAATTGACAGACCAGTACACACCACCACCACCCTTGTACACTGTAGTGTGTTCAGCAGCATACCTGCCTTCTGCCCACTAGATGCCAGGGTACCATGTTATGTCAGAAGTCTTCAAAAAACCCACCCATCTATGATCAGCTGATTTCTCTAAGAGTGGTGAGCCCATTCAGTGGACAAAGAAGTCTCTTCAATAAATGCTGGAGGGAAAATTAGATTTTCACTTGCAAAAAAGTGAAATGGGAGCAATGCCTCACACCAAAATGGATTAAAGACTTAAATGTACAAACTAAAACCATAAAATTTTCAGGAGAACAAGTAGAGGCAATGCTTTTAGGCTTAGCTTTCTACAGTGGATGACTGATCTACTGTAATAACAAACAGCAAAAGGCAAAATAAATGAGATCACATAAAAATTTAAAACTTTTGTTCATTACAAGATTTTACCAAAAAAGTGAAAAGATATCAACTGAGATAATATCTTTAGTAACCAGAATCTGATAAGAATCAAATAACCAAAAAATATATAAAACATTGACAATACTAAGACAGATAGCCCAATCATAAAAGTGGGCAGTGGACTTGAATAGACAGTTTACCAAAGAGGACATTCAAATAGCCATCAAATACCTGGAGAGATGCAAATCAAAACCATAATGAGATACCATCTCATTCCCACTAGGATGGCTAAGGAGTCCTGTTGTGGTGCTGTTGGGCAAGTACTGGCCTGCTAACCACAAGGTTGGTGACTGAAACCCACCAGTCCCTCCTCAGAAACCCTATCCAGGGTTGCTGTTAATCAGAACAGACTCAATGGCACTTAACAACTAGATGGCTAAGATTATAGAAAAACAGAAAATGGGAACAAATGTTGGCAGAGATGTAGAGGAACTGAAACCCTCCTCCAATCCTGGTTGATTTGCAAAATGGTAGTGTTGTGGCAGTTCCTCAAAAAGCTCAAAACAACCGGATGGCTATCTCATGACCCAAAAATTCTATTCCAAGGTGTATACCTGAAAGGCTTGGAAGCAGACTCAAAAAGTTCATTGAGCACTATTTATAATAGCCAAAAGGCGGAAACATCCTAAATACCCATCAACAGATGAATGGATAAGCAAAATGCAGCACCTACATAATAGTTATCAGTGGTTACCAGGGATGGGCAGGAGAGAGAAAAGGGTTAACTGTGATGAGAAAAAGTGAATCAGTAGACCAGCCAAATGGAAGAGGATTTTATTTGTAAAGAAATGAACTTACAACGGATCTACAATATATATTATTGTAATATAAACAATATAAATAAATGATCCTGTAGGCCCATTAATCTTCCATCCAGACCCACATGAAGCAATGTTACAACAATATTCTATGTGAAAATGTGCAGGTAACAAAGGTGCAATTACAAGCAAGTTTAAGCAGCAGAGTATAAGGTGCTTTAATTTAATAGTTAATGTTGCCATCAACAGACATTTAAATGTTCAGTTTTACTTCACTTAATACAGCCACAACAAATATGAAAATCTAAAAGTCGTACACATGCTACTTATTAATAGGAAAGTGCTTTCTCTGTTTTAAAAAAATACACAAAATGGACAACCTTTTTACACAGATCATGGTGTGCTCTCAAAATGCAAAATTAACTTCATTTTTTTAGGTTATACATTTTAGAACTGTAGCTATCAGACACCAATCTATGAACTCTAATGCTAAGGGTGCTAAAACTATTTCATTTCTTGTAATTAGGACTGGAATACAATATCCAATGTAAAGAATACATCTATATATAATCTTAACATTTGTTTCCTGTAACGACAGAACATGTTTTCTTTTCCCTTGGTGATGCTTTTTGCATCCTGGGTGGATCACCTTTTGATGTCTTAAGAATATGCAAATTTTATTTTAGAACAGTGGGAGGAACCAATGAAACAACATGCGTTTGAAGCATTAAAAAAAAAGATAACCACAACAGTGTGCCTTTGTTGAATTAACAGTGTAAAATTTTTAACAAGCAAGAAGACAGAATGTCCTAACTCAACAAAGACATTTGAGATGCCTGCTACCCCCTCTGAACACCCATCCTTACACTACTGGTCCACTTAGCTACCAGCATAATACTGACTCTGAGAAAGCAACCAAACTTTTGAGTGCAAAGTAATTGGGAACCTAGTTAAACATCTTGGAAATCAGTTGTCATCCAAAATACCATGTTGGCACAATCAGGTTATTTTTTAAAACTGAATACACATACAAAAGGTATTTATGCAATAGCTGTTTTAACAGCATATTTCAAAATTTTAAGCAAATTAAAACACTTTAAAAGTAGTATTTAAACAAACACCATGCAACTATATATTTTTTTAGCCCAGACTATCTGGTTATGTGGACAAATATTAGTTGCTCCTATTTTAAGTTTGGTATAAATGCTAATCCAACATTTTTTTCAAAAAGCTGTAATTATGATACATGAAATTTTTTTAACATTAGGTACTTTAATTTTATATCTTTATGGAGACTAAGATAAACTGATGTTTATATGTAAAGCTGTGTCAACAGGAATTACAATCTGATTCACAGAATCCCAGAGCAGTCAGGGAGCTTTACCCAATTCATTATCCAGTCTCCTGTTCAGTGCTTACTCGTCAAATACTAAGCAGTTCAAGCATGGAATTGGCTTATGCTTACTGCACCTTAAAGAACATTTACTATGTAATAATATATGTGCTTTGTATTACTGATTCTTATACATCTTTTTAAAAATGGGTATGTGTAATAACCTTTTAAAGTACAAAAGAGTATGTAATTTTTCATCCTGTGAAAACAAACCTTTATGAGGCTTTTTTTTCAGTTTTGAAAAGTTGTTATACTGTTAATTTTAAATATAGAGCATTTATAGTTAAAAATGTACAATAAAGTCACTACCAACTTCTTAGTATTGTTCTATCACTTACTCTGTATAGCAACACCTCTGGAACAGACTGAAGTGTCAAAATAATTCTGTCAAATAGGTCCCTAATGTTAGGTACCCTCAAATATGTAACCTAATTGGTCATAATGGTTGACTACTATTTAGCCTGTGAAATGTGTTCTAGGAATTGTGATGTGATTCCCTTATACCCCTCAGATGTCACCTAATCCTTTACTCAGTGCATAAACAGATCCCCTCTCAGTTCCAAGTTTACATTCAACACATTACATGGTAATAATTATGGGTATGTCTATTTAAGCTGTAATCAAAACCTTGGGATGATTTTCTTTACTTCTTCTAGTTCCTTAAATCATAGACAAGTGCACACCGCACACAGTGCTCAGATGGTTTCCTGAATGAGTGAATGGCAATATTCAGATGTTCAGTGCTAACCTAGCAAGTAGCATTTAGAAAAAAGCCCTCCTCTCTTTGCCTGTATAAAATCCTCTACCTTAATTCTTAGGAGAACAAAGACTATGTGACCCAGGAATTGGGTGCTGAGCTAAGTATCTTTTAGCAAAAACCCTTCAATATGAACTAGTAAGAGGGAAAAGCAAACTATGTATACGAACAACTTTAAAAGTACCTCGAGAGTCCTGGTGTGGCGCTGTGGGTTAATGCGCCAGACTGCAAAGCCATTTGAACTGCAAGGTCGGCAGGTCAAGCTCACTAGCAGCTTCTCGAAAACCCTATACAGGGTCACTATGGGTCAGAACCAACTCAACAGCACTTCACAACAACAACAATTTAACCTAGAACCATAGTTTTAGGACTGAAAGTTACACTAAAGATGATGTAAACCAACTCAAAATTCTGAGTAGTAGACACACCGTACTGTAAATGCAGAAGTAGAAACAGAGGTAAACAAGCTAAGTAATTGCCCAACTGTGTCACACACAGCTAACTGAGCCAGGCTGTTTTTTTCTTCACTCAAGTCAATTCAATGATTATATTAATCTATTAGTTACTTT